TCAGGCGGGACGGACTAGGCTGTGCCGCACAACCAGCCAGCCCCAAACCTCAGTGGCTGCATAGAGCAAAGACTGATTTCTCCGCCATGCTACACGTGCAGTAGGCACAGTCACTCAGGGACCCAGGCTGGCAGAGGCCCCACCCTTCCAAGATCACCATGGCCAGGGAAAAAGAACGTGGGGAACTGCTCTTAACGCTCCCCCCAGAAGGCGCACATGCCACTGCCATCCACATTGTGTTGGCCAAGAAATCCCGTGGCCACACCTACCTGAAGGTCAGCTGCGGTGGTACCACATCCCCACAGGAACCCAGAGCAGCTGTGAACAGCCCTGCCCATGGCCACAGCCCGCCCGTTTGTTTCCAGATATAAGAAGCTGACAGGCTTTACTAAGACATAGTCCGTGACTGATTTTTTCCAGGTTTGAAGCCCTACAATTTCGATTTGTGGTTTCGTCTGCCATCTTCCCTAAAATGGGAGTGGCGAGTTCTGAAAGCGATGCGTCTTCAGTAATTGTTAATGAACTCAGATTCAGCACGTAGGTAGAGGTTACACACGCAAAGGCTCTCTGGAATAAAATGTGCCGACTGGTGGTGACAAGTTACGATGCCCTCATCCATCTCAGCTTGATGGGTGGCATCTGTCATTGTGTCTGGCATCCGTGTGGCATCTGTCATTGTGTCTGGCATCCGTGAGGTCTTAAGGTCTTAGAATCACTGATATTGTCATCTGCCCCCACTCTGGAAGCCAAATATACCTGAGGCCCTGCTCTCGGTGACCCTCCTTTCAGACCAGGGAGTGCCTGGCAGCCCAGTGGCACGCTGGCTGTCACTCGGGCCCCGCAGGGCTGCAGAGCAGGGTTTGTACTGACACCGACAGCCCAGGGCCTCGTTTAACAACCAGCTCAATGGCCGCGCCCCATCAGCAGAAATTAGCCCTTGAGTCTCCTGGAGTGAGGCCCAGAGTTATTTCATTCAGGACATGACCCAAAGACAGGAGGACACAGGGACCTGGGGCCATCTGTCCAGTTCCTGGCGGGGGGGGGGGGCAGCCTTTAAGCTGAGCTCTTCTGGCTAGGGGCACCTCACCCCTGCCCTCCCCCTGTCCTCCCTCACCCCCCTCGTCCCTCTTACACCTCCCCAAGAGCCCTGGGGAAGGTGCTGGGCAAGGGTCTGGCCTGTGCAGCTGTGGGGAGAGGTGTGGCCTGGAGAGAGGGACATTTGTCTTCCTTCAAAGCACTAAAGGGAGCCCAGGGCATTCAGCAGAGTGTCAGAGGGGCGGGAGGCCGATCTCAGGCAGGAGCCTCCCCTGCCTTCCCAGCACCCGCTGGCTCACGGGAGTCGGCCCTGAGAGTAACACACAGTGACAAGCCCCAGGTGGCGGAGCTGCTGGGAAACAGGACTCCACAAAGGAGTCCTGTGCGTTTGTCACCTGAACATCATGACAAGGCTGTGGCAGTAGGCGGTAAAGCAAACTCAGAGCAGTTGCCCAGCTCCCCGCAGGGCCTTAGCAAGCTGGTGGGAAGCCCGGAACTGACCGTGGCCTCTGACTCCTTGCCTAGTGCTCTCAGGAAACAGAACAGGGCCAGGGACATTGAGTAAAGGCCCGGGCCCATGCCAGTGACAGGAATGCCTGCTGGTGGCAAAAGGAAGGTCTGGGTTGAAAAAGGTCCTATCAACTTGAGTTATTTATCTGGGACTTGCACAGGAGGACTGGGGAGAAGGGGCCTCCCCTAGCTCAGTCCCGCAGAGCCGGAGGCCACCGGCAAAGGCAGACACGGACAGATCTCGACTCCCTTGGGAATCCGAGGTCAGCATCCGTGCCAAGGGGGAGCCACAGATCGCTTCCCCAAGTGGTGGCAAAGCCCACCCTGCCCAGCTCCGGCCGGTGCTCCAGGGGCTGAGGCCACTGCTCCTCCCCCGCCCTCCGCCCCTTCACAAGAACCTGCATCGGGGCTGCAGACCACACAGCGCAGAAGCAGGAGGCCCTCTGACGTCACCTAATCTACACCCTAAGGTGACCTTGAGAAAGGGCCTCAGTTTCCCCAGCTGTCAAGTCCAGCTTTTTCAAAAGTACAGGCTGGCTACCCAGCAGACACCAGTCACTGCTAGCCAGCCCCGGCGCGGGGGCAGGAGCGTCCTTGTTGCTGCACTGTGGGCTGTGCTGCAGGCCCAGGGGTCTTCCGGGCCCACTCCGTGCTCTGTGAGAAGGAACAGCCAGGGATCCTGAGAACACCTGACATGGGAGGTGGGGAGAACATCACAAGGTTGCAGCAGGAACCAATTTAGGGCTGGGAATGACAGTGCCTCTCAGGTTGGCTGGCATCCCTGGCCAGAAAGCCCTGGAGAAAGTCAATGCCACCCCTGCTGTGGGTGGGCCCCCTGCCCACCCCTCGTGATGGCGTTGCAGGGGTGGGGGATGATGCTGCAGCCCACGCTCCACTAGGACATGCACTGAATGTCATGAGATGGGGTGGGGGACAGGCCGGGGGACAAGAAAATCTGTCCCAGCACCACCAGTGACTTGCAGGTGACTTTGGCCAAGTCCCAGCCTCCTTTCGGCTCAATTTCCTGATGTTTAAAATAGATAAACAATAACCCTCGGCCTCCCCGCGCCGTGGCAGGGGAGCGTGCTCTGGGACCGGTGCACCTGAGTTCACATCCCTGTGTCCCCTCACTAGCTGGTGCACGTGGGGAAGTTACTTAACCTGTCTGCGCCTCGGTTTCCTCATCTGTAAAGTGAGGCTGGTAACACTAATTACCTCCTAGGAAAGGGCAAGGCTTAAATGGGTTACTCCGTACAAAGCACTAGAACTCGGCGTGGCATCCAGCAAGTGCTGTGTGTGTGACCATCTATCGCTATTGTTCCCTCACCACGCCCCCGCTGTCCACGTCCTTAGAGTGCCTGCGCAGGCAGGTGGAGGAGAGAGGAGGGCGGCGGACTGCCCAGCTCGGCAGCGCGGGGGCGCTACATAGGACGTGGCTGGGACACGTTGGCAGAGCTAAGCCGGCGCCGGCAAGGCCAGGCCTGGTTAGTGCTGGCCCAGGCCCCAGGGAGACAAGTGTGAGGGATGGGAGCCGAGGCTCCTTCCAGGAGTGGCTATAAATGAATTTTGCAGACTGGCTGTCCCTCTGGTTACTGGAAGTGCCTCTGCCTGGGGACAGGTCAGCTGCAAAGGCCCACATGCAAGCAGCCCAGTGAGGGGAGAGGCGTCCAGCCACCTTGGTTTTCTCTGCCCTCTTCCTTCTCGTCTTCTCCAAAGCTGCAAGTAGAATTGGGTTTGCCAAGCAACGGGGATATCTTGCCCCATAACGAGAGGGTTATCAAACTGAAGGTACCAGCTCATCTGTGGGCCGATTTCCCTCCAAGTTTAGATGCCTCTCTGCAGCTTCTTTTCTCAGCTCCTGGACGGGCTCCCAGGTGGGGCTCACTTCTGCGCTGCCTTAGAGCAGAGCTGTGAAGAGGCTTCACCTGGAGTGTCAGGCCCGGGCCACTTGCCATCAGGCCTGCCCCTAACGCCTCACCCCTGCAACACCAATCTGCCCGGTCACACTCCAGCCACACAGCCGCTCCAGAAGCCTCACCCTGCATCCTGCAAAGCAGACACACATGCACCAGCCAGAACCTCCACCCCTTCCCCTTCCTAAAGGAGCGTTTTTTGGCCTATCCTGTAGGCCAAAAAGCTGATGCAGGAGAGGCCCTTTGTTGGGGAGTGAACAGGCCAGGCTGAGGCTGTCAAAGCCACGGTGAGCTGGAGGCCTGGGCCGCTGGCGGGAGCCTCTCTGAGCCAAGGGCCTGAACAAATTGACGGGCGCCGCTGTGTGTGGATCCAGCCAGCCGTGCCCGCGGCCTGGACTGAAGGTCAATTAGAGGGTTAATCATGCCCAGCACTGCCCAGCCTGGTCGCATCCGTGACCAGGAGTCCAGCAGAGGGAGAGAGTATTAATAACTCAGTGATGACGGGCACCGCCGTGGGAATGTCCTCTTGGACAGGACAAATACAGCAAGAAGAGCCTCCCCTCAAAGTGTCTCCTTGGCACTCTCCTGACACAAAGTCAGGACGTCTTAGGGGCTGTGTTTCCAGCCCAGAGTTCCAGCATCTGCCTGAGATCCACAAGCCCACCCTAGACAGTGGGGCGGGTGCAGGAGAGCACCGGGCCCAGAGAAGAGGAGACCCTGGCTTGATTTCCTGCTCTGCTCCTGACCAGGCGAAACCCTGGGTGCGGTATCACAGGCCTCACTTTGCTTGTTTGCAAAGTGGCCTCCCTTTCCTACAACCCAGAGCTGTCAGGGAAATAGGACCACTGTGGTAACAATGCTAGAAATAATAATAATAGACCACATTCACTGAGCACTTTGCTCTGGGCACTGGGCTAACCTTCCCACCATGGGCCTTACCTCACTTCTGTCCCTAATTCCATGAAGTAGGTATCATTATTATCCGGTTCTACAGATGGGGAAACCGAGGCCCAGAGAGGCCCTCAGTAGCTTGTCCAGGGTCGCACAGCAGTTATGTGGTGGAGCCATGATGCAAACTGATGGTGCATAGCTATACTACACAATCCTAAAGCACCCCTGAACCCCAACCCTGCAAGACCATGAGTGCCCCGCAACAGGGGCTCTGCCTGCTTCTCGTTGAGCCTGGGATCAGTGTTCCCAAAGGACGGAAGGCAACGCCACGAGAGCAGTTAAGACACGGTCTCCGCACTCTGGAAGCTTACAGTTGTGTTGTTTGATTTTTAAAAATGTTTTAATATTTAAATTCAAAAGGTACGAAATGGTATCCAAAGTCTCCTTTCACCCCTGCTCCATGGAGGCAACCACGGTTACCCATTTCTTGTAACAGGCTATTCCAGAAGGAACCAATGCACATGTATGGGCTTGTTTAAGCTACCAGGGAGGAACCTGTTGTGGTCCAGGCTGGGGACTGAGTGGGCCCTTCCGGGCACACCACCTCCCACATATCATTCCACCTTCCTCCTCTGCTTTCCAGAGACCCCGCTGAGAGTCCACACACAGGAAGACACCTGTGCCCAGACAGCAGTGAAGGCCGAGAAGGAGAAAGTCGAGGACCATTGACAGCCCGAATCCTGTCCAGGAGCTGCTGCTCTAGCTTCTGCCTCACACCCTCCTCTCGCAGATTCTGCGGGGGGACCGGCTCCCTGTGCGGAATCATGGTCGTACAGGGCAGCACGGACGCCAGGGACATCAGGGTGGGCGTGCAGCTGGAGCCCTTCCTGCACCAGGTCGGGGGGCACATGAGCGTGATGAAGTATGACGAGCACACCGTGTGCAAGCCCCTCATCTCCCGGGAGCAGAGGTTCTACGAATCCCTGCCGCTGGCCATGAAGCGCTTCACCCCTCAGTACAAAGGTGAGTGTCCGGCAGCCAGGCCACATCTGGGTGCTGCCACACCGGGCCCAGGCCCATCTGCACACACCCCGCCTCCTGGTGCGCTGTGGGTGTGTGCAAGGGTTGCCATGGAGACGAGGTTGCCATGGAGACAAGGTTAGCCCAGTGCCCCTCTCCCGGGCTGGCCTTCACGGCCTGATTTCTCTGAACTCTTCATGCCTCCAGGTCTGGAGTGTAATGCCATTTGGCTTCCAGACAAATTAGCTCAAGTCACCAGGCTTCTGGGAATTGAGAATGGCATAACACAACACCCCTGTTCCACCTGGCCCTGAGGTGGCGTTCTGGTCTGTGCCTTGAGGGCATCGTGGCTGGTTAACCGTGGCTGTACACACGGCATAGGTCGAGGCCTCCTTAACCTCCCTCTGGAGGCCCAGGCGGGTAGCAGGAGCCTGGGGCCTGGGATAGGGCATGGAGAAGCTGGGACACAGCTCTTTTAGGAAACCGGAATTCCCACCTTCACCCAGGAAGGGGCCAAGTCCGGGGAATGGGCTGCCACCTGGGAGTAGCTGGGGAGCGCTCTGCCCGGAGCAGTGTGTGTTCTGGATCTGAGCCCAAGGTGACTCTGGGGATAGAAAGCTGGAGGGGAGGGTGCCGCCTGCTGGCATCCTGGCAGGCCGAGCACCCGGGGGCGGGCTGCTGTGTCCACACCCCGCCTTGGGTAAAGGGCCGGGGCTGGCTCTGCCCCGAGGCTAGACCCGCAGTGGGGCGAGTGCTCAGAGAAAAGATCTCCCTAGAGGAGTTTAGAGTTCACCACTGCAAGCCCCGCTGTCTTGCCTGTGGGGAAGGTGATAACATCCAACAAGTCAGTTAAAAACCCACTTGCACTTCAGTGACCAAGATAACTGGGGAGGAGGGGCCTATCTACATTGGTGTCTCTCGAAGTGTGAGCCAAGGTCAGCCACCTTCGCAGGTTCCCAGGCCCCACTCCACACCTGTGAGTCAGGATCCCTGGGGCCCCGGGGTGAGAGCAGCAATCCGTACTCAGCGTGGTCTAGACAGAACCGCCGGTGGGGGCACCAGGCCTTGCGCTCTGGGCGTTGCCTCGGAGCACTGTTTCACACATGCCTGGCCTTTGGCCCGCCTGCCAGGACCTCCTGAGAGCCTAAGACAAGCGGATCATCGTCACACACTGAGAAACAGGGGGGTACAGGCCAGGGCCGCCTGTGCAGCCCTCTCCTCTCCCCTGGGATCTCCCGGGCCCTGGGGTGGTGTTGCCTGGCTGGTTGCAGGTCACTGCCCGTCTTGTCAGGGCACTCACCGAAATTAATGACTGTCCCTTTGCAACTGAACTCAGCCCAGCAGAGGGATGGCAGGACGGTGCGTGGGGCAGCCTCCTGCCAGCAGCATTTCACGCCTGCTCTGCTGGGCTCTGGAGCTGAGACAGGCTGCCAGGCAGCGGCAGGCACAGCGGGAGAGGGAGAGAGGCTGGCCCGGTCTTCAAGAGACCACCCTGGCCCCCTCCCCTGCTCTCGTCTGTGCTTGGCCAGGCCTCTGGTGGGGGTAGGAGGGCGCTGCTCTCGGCGCCCAGGCACCGGCCTGCCGTCCAGACCCCTGCTCCGCCCTGCTTCCCCCTCAGGTTGGCCCCCCGCACTGCCATCTCCCCTGGGGCTCTGCTAGCTCAGCAAGTGAATTTGAGCCAAGGTGTCATAGCAAGTGTAGCAACGGCTTCGGGGGCATCTCGGCTTCGGGGGCATCTCGCGGCTTCACACAGGAGAAGGTGTTTCTAAACAAGCTGGGGAGGCACCTGCGTCAGGGAGCTCTGTGACACCCCTCAGATGAGACCACGTAACTGACCACCCACCCCGCCCGTGGCTGAGGGGAGACAGAGCCGTGGCGGGGGCGACACCCACATGAGGCATTGAAGAAGCAGAAACGCTGACTCACTCTGAGCACACCGCGACACCACCGTCCAAGCACCCACTGACCAAGCACGGCAGTTAAGGAGACCCTAGCAGGAGGCCCAGAACCAGGACCCCCAGGCCCTCGGGCGCCGGGGTGGAGGCAGGAAGACGGGCAGCCGAGCCCGGCTGTAGACGGGAAGGGTCCCTGAGAGGGCCGTCAGGCTGCGAGGGCTGTTGGTTCTGTCCAGTTAGGAAAGTGGCATCAGCTGGCCTTGGCTCTGGCCTGCCACATCCGTAAGTGATTTCCGTGTCCCAGTTCACGCAACCCTCACAGCCTGCTGAGGTAGACACCTTTATTACTCCTGCGTCCTAGGCGAGGAAACGAGGCACAGAGAGGTTCCCCGGCTTGCTCAGGCCACACAGCCAGCGAGAGGTGCAGCCAGGACTGGAAGCCCCAGGTGTGGGCTCTGGCCACACAGGCCGGCTCCCCTGGGCTGCACTGTTCCTGACTCCAGTGTCAGTGCTTCGGGGGTCATCTAGCCCAAGGGGGGTGGGGACCTAACTTGCCCAGGGTCAGTCAGCTAGTGACCTCAGGTCAGGGGGGCTCAAATCCCCCAAGGCTGCCACGGGGGTCTCCCCTTTCCTCCCCGATAGAAACAGCTCCCCAGAGAGAGGGGCCGTTTCTGAAGTGGCCACCACCAGCCACTGAGCACACCCTCCCCCTTCTTGCTGGCCTGCACCAGGATGGCCTCAGGGAGAACGTGGGGCAGGGATGTCGCTCCAAAGGGCAGCTGCCTCGTGCCAGCTCACCCTGGCCTTTTGCTGGGCTCCTTGAGCACGACAGCTCCTTGGGGCTGTGTCCCTCTGCCTCCCAGCCTCCCCGTCCACTCCGGGCGAATGAGGACATACTCTTAGGTCCAGTTGGTTAACGGTTGAGCCGATTCACATTACAGACGGTGGCGAGTTAATGCTCTCATAAACTTAAAAATAAATACATGATAGAATATTCACTGAGGCTCAGGAAACTGCTCGGCCAAACCAAAATTGCTGAGATGCTCTGGGCATGCCAGTCGTGGCAGTGAGCACTCTTGCCTGTCCAGCTGGCATGGCCTCAGCTGGAGGTATGTGGAGAGGGCTGGAGAGCAGGCAGGGGGGACTCTGGCTGGGCCCCGCACTCTCCTAGTCAGGGCGGCCATCCGAAGCCTAATCCCCATAGACCTGCAGGGCAAGGCAGAGGCCAGGCTGCAGCCGATGTGGCTCTTGGTTAAAAGAACAACCCAAGCACCAAAGAGTCTGGGTTCTACGGACATGCTGCTCTGCCAGGGGCAGCAACCCGAGATTGTTTGCAAGGGGCTATCTGCTCTGGATCCCAGCCAGCAGGTCCCAGGCTCTGGAGGGAAGGGCTGAGCTAAGCTGTGTGACAGACGGAAGGGTGAGAGAGAGGGGGAGGGAAAGAGAGACAAAAGCTGGAGACAGACACAGCCCAGCAGAGGCACACAGAAAGACAAAGAGAGAGACAGGGACGCAGAGCCTGGCTGTGTAGCTCTGACAATATGAGAAATGGAAATGACTTTTGGATTTTATTGGTTTTGGGTTATTTGCACCTCTGCTCTCCTCCATTTACTCAGATACTCAGAACTGATGAGATCAGACAAGAGCTGGAGCCTGGAGACGGGGTGAAGGTCACGTTTCTTGTCCTCCAGGGAGGCCTCCTGGGCCTGGGGCTTCCCAAGCCTGTGGTTTCTGGCAGGCCTGTCACTGTGGCCTCACAAGTGGAGAAGCCGGGGGGCTGCTGGGTGGCAAGCGAACTTTACAAGACCCGAGAGGGCCTTGCCTTGGCTGGCACACCTTTCCGGGCTCCCGGCAGCCAGGAGGCCTGAGCTCCTCAGGGACCGGCACCGAGGCCAGCTCCCGCCGTGGCGAGTGGAGCAGTGGGCTATGGGGCCTGGAGCTGGTTTCGGAAAGGTCAGTTCTCCCTAGAACAAGCACGACGACGCCACTCCCTCCCCGAGGATGCAGGGCTGCAGATACAAACCCCAGGACCTTGTGGCTTGGCGCCCCAGGCCTCGGTGCAGACGGCCCTCTCCCGGGTGAAGGAATCTCGGCCTCTCTGTTCTCCCCAACGGGACAGAATGAGCAGAGCAAGCGTGACTGGGGACACAGCAGGAGTGTTCCTCATGCACACGCAGGGTAAACGCAGCGTGACGACACCGGACTCTCCAGAGACAGTCCCTGGCTCCGTGTAACTGTTTGTCCCTTGTTCCGCAACCACAGCTGGGGTGGCAGCTCAGAGCTCCACTCTGTGTCAACCCTGTGACCCTGGGCAGGTTGTTCGATTTTCCTGAGCCTCAGCGGCCGTCAGTGGCCCTGCAGGTGCATCGGGACTTGGAGGCAGCCCGGTCCGGCCTAGCGCCACGCACGGCAGGCGGCAAGACAGGGCGGGGTGCTCCAGGATTCCTCCCCGCCGGCAGCCCTTGCTCTCACGAGTGGGACAGCTACAGGGGGCTTGGCCTAGGGACGAATGCTGGTGGCAGGGAAGTGGTAAAATGCCAGGTTGGTGTGTGGTGTTATCACTACCATCGTGATTACACCACAGGACGCAGGAGCCTGGGACGGGGTGAGGAAAAGCGGAGTTTTTTTAGGAGTTGGAAAGGACTGAGTGTCACTCTCAGGCTGCAGAATTAGGGCACTGGGAATCTGAGATGACAGGACTGGCCCAGGGAGACCGCTGAGCTAGGCACACATGGCTCTGGAGAGCAACTTGCTGAATTACAGAGCAGCCCTGAAAACCAGCGTCTGCGCTGACCGGCCCGGGAGGGGACCAGACAGGGAGATCAGCTGCCTTTATGGCCTGCTCAGCAGAAATTGCCACTTACTCTGAGAAGGTGACCAAGTGGCCAGGGAGGAAATAAATGCCTTGGAGGACATACAAACACGCAGCCCACCCTGTCAGTCAGGGTCCCAGCAGGAGGCAAATGGTTCGCTCAAAGGAGCTTCGATGAAGAGAATCTCGAAAGGAACTATCTGCAGATGTGCAGGCAGGATTCAGGAAACAATCAAGGCCGAGGGCACTGGGGACTAGCCACGCCGGAGAGCTGTGACCACCCAGGCCACGAGGGCCAACGTGAGGGGCAGTGTCACCGACCCTATGCGCGTGGAGGCCACAAAGGAACGAGGCAGGTGTGGACGCAGGCCAGCCACAGTGACGCAAGGGGGACCCAGCCTTTCTCCTCCCACCCTCCGCCTCCTGCCAGTGCGCCCCACTGGCTGAAGCCACTGGGAAGCCACGGGGCAAGGAAGCCATTGGTATACTCCACGGGTCAGCCCTCGGGCACGAAGCAGGACGCAGTGGGGTGAGAGTGGATTGGCGCGTGGGGTGGGGGCGCAGAGACTCACGCACCGGCTGTAGGAAGGACGGGATGATGAGAGCTCTCACACCTGGTTCTCGCAAAACCACCTGCATGTCCGTCTCCTGGGCCACCACCAGGGCACCGCCAAGGTGAGCACCCCTGGATGCGAAGCCCCACAGAGGGAGGCTTCAGCTCTGCCACGAGAACAGGAATCTAGAGGGTGACCACAGAGCCATGATGGGCCTGCTGCAGCTGGTCCCCAGCCTGGCCAAGGCCCTGGAGGACACCCATGAGCGTGATTGTTCACGGGTTTCCGGGCAGTCTTCACTTTCACAACCGGCAGCATTTGTGCCTTGATGACAAATAGTGATGACAGGCGGCACCGCAGGGAAATCTCACAAGTGCCCTATTTCACCAAAGAACCCTGTTCCAACCAATGGCTTCATGTGCCAATGCATCTGACCAGAGGACGTGGCCGAGCACCAGGGTGAAAGGCAGAGAGACGGGGAGGGCGAAGGAAGGGGTGACGCTGGGTCCTGAGCCTGCGTGCTGCCGGAGGAAGGCCTCCTGGCAGAGGCCGGTCAGACGGCGACAGAAGGGAGAGGAAGGATGAAGGCGGCAGGGGTAAGGAGGGGCGGGATGGGCCCCAACTTCCCTCATTGCACTCGGAGCTGGAAGGACCAGCTCTGACGCCCCCAGGCGGGGCATGGCCAGGAAGGAGTGTGTGTGTCTGTGTGTGTGTGTGTGTGTGTGTGTGTGTCCGCGCTGAGAGGTCTGCAGTGCAAGAACGAAAGGTACAGAGGACTTCGCCTAAGAACGAAGGAGCAGAGAGGGGCTGAAGCAGAGCCGTGCCGTGCGCAGATCAGCCCAAGGCTATTGCCTACAAGCCATGGCTCTGGGCTCGTTCTGGAACAGCTTCAGATTCAGGCGAAACCAGGCCAGACCCAGAGCTCTTTACTGAGCGAGGCGTTGGGGAAGAGGGGAGGTTGACCTGTGCCATTGAACTGAACTCCCAACGCTGTCACCCACTGCCACGTGTCCACTGGGAGGCCCCTCTCACCTGGTCTCTGCTCCCCTCCCTCTGTGTTCTGCAGGCACCGTCACGGTGCACCTCTGGAAAGACAGCAAGGGCCATCTCAGCCTGGTCGCCAACCCACTGAAAGAGAATCAGGAGCCCTTCAAGGTCTCTGCGGAGTCGGCGGCGGTGGCCGTCTGGCAGACGCTCCAGCAGACCACCGGTGGCAGTGGCAGCGCCCGCGTCCTCGCGCAGCTGGCACGCTCACCCAAGGAGAGGTGAGGGCTACCTGGCAGGACGGCAGGGCCCGGCACCACGCCCGCCTGTGCCGGAGGCCAGCCTCCCTGTTAGGGCTGGAGCCGAGAAAATGAGAGATTCAGAGGAAGGCTCTGTCTAGAATAACGAGTGTGACCAAAGAAAGGAATGGATTTCCTTTTATGCCACTTCTAGAGGGAGGATTACGATGCATTTTATCTCAGAAGCCGATGCACAGGCAGAGTTCTATACAGAGTACGTATTCGGTACATATTTGTTTAATTAAATACGTGTTTCGCTGAGACCATCAAGTGTCTCTGAGGGAAAAGTGTGCAGAACAGAAGCCCTAGAAGAGTTTACATAAAGGAATGGTGTGGCTAATTGCTCCCAGAAATCATCTCTTTCCTTAGCAGTCAGGACGTGATGAGGAGGGAGGTCCACGCGGCTCACAGCGGGTCCTGGAGGTCCTTGGGGAGGGTCCGAAACCTCTGACAACGTCAGCTGGCCTTTCTCAGATGAAAAGGATCCCCGGGGATTTTTAAAACATGTATGGAAAACAAGAGGGAGCTAATACAATGACAATGCCTCCCTCCCTAGGCAGCGGTGGATCTAATTACGCTCCTGGCTCAGCACAGGAAGCCGCGCACACTCTCTCCATTTCACAGGCGGGGAAGCCAAGATGCAGGAAGGCAGGAGAAAGGGGGCATATCCGGGTCCTGGGGCTCCCCCAGCCCCCCTCACCCCACTCCCTGTGGCACTGTGAGGTCTCAAGCACACACGGACCTGCCAGAGTATCAGAGTCTGAGCAGCCTTGAGCTTCCGGATGGGGCTGCTGCCCCCCACGTGCCCCCCATGGGACAATGAGTAATAGTGCAGATCACTCGCGGCCAGTTTAAATCACCTCGGCCCTCTGATGGGTGACACAGTCCAACGACTGACTCTGGGGTTTGCAGAAACCCCGAGAGGGCTGCAGTGTGGCGTGATCTGGTCCCCGGGCCCCAAGCAGAACAGGGAGGGCACTTGCAGCAGCCTGGTGAAGCCACCAGGGAGAGCAGCTGGGACAGCCCCGTCACAGCCCCTCCCAGAGAGCCCAGTCACAGTCACGGGCACCCTCCCCGCACCACCCTGACCGTCGTGTGCTCCCGCCAGCCGCAGCCCAGCCAAGGCACCCCTGAGGCCCGAGTCCCACCTCAACGCTCAAGTGTCCTCGCTGCTGGAAGACGTTAACGGGAACCAGGTTGAGAAGAAGAGCTTCAACCCGTGGGGCCTGCTCTGCCACCAGGCCCACCTGACCCGCCTGCGCTCCGAGTTCCCCGAGAACAAGCGGCACCGTATCCTTGCCCACCTCCCACCACACGCGGTCCCAAGGCAGGGACGGGGACAGAGAGACATACGGGAGCAGGCGTGGTGGGGGGAAGCAGATAGGCACGTGGGGCCGAGGGAGGGGCAGGCAGGGACAGCTAGACGGATGTGAGGGACCAAGAAGAAATCAGATCCCTCCAAAAGAAAAATCAGAGAGTACGGGAAGGTCAGACTGGGAATGAAGCGGAACTCAGTGCCCTGCCACCTGGGCAGTGACGGGGGATGGGACGAGGGCCGCTATGCCACGCTGGGTGGAGGCAGCATGGGGCTCACAGGGCTAGACAGGTCCCCAGCCCAACCTCCCGTCTGTATCTGCAAATTCCCCCACAGGCCTCTTCCGTGGGGAAGTATCCGTGGGACGGACTCTGAGAGGAGGTCCCCCCGCAATGGGCTGCCAGGTTCTCAGGGAGCAAATTTAGGTTTGAAATGTCCCTTTGTCACCACTGGGCTCCTTCCCGCAAACGGGTGGCTGGTTCCACAGTATTGACTAAGACACATCTGCAACCCTAATCCCTAAGAAGCTTTCGCAGGATAATTATTCCACTGAAATTAATATTCCTGCAACACATCTCCAAAGCTAACATCAACCCACTTCTCCCAAAATGTACCGGTCCGTTCAGTGACTGGAGGTTTGGGCCTTAGGATTTTCTGCCATCAAACGTAAATCGGGCCTGGCCTGCCAGGGATTTCTCGCCTGCATTTAAATTTCAACCTCAGAGCAAATGGAAAAGGGAAAAGCTCACACACTCATAACTCCCCCTAAATAAATGGACTTATTAAAGCAGCCTGCAAAGCTAATACCTTGAATTCTTAATAGCAAGGCTGAGCTTGTCTGCGAGAGGGGCCGGGAGGCGGGGAAGGGTGCCCGAACAGGGAACCTCTGGGCAGCTTCCACGGCACGCTAATGGCCTCTGGTGGGGCAACATCCTGGAAGTCCTCGGAGTCTTTCTTAACTCAGTGTGACTAGGGTTCCTGTTGCTGGAAAACGTGGTGTCGCAGTACACGCACCCCTGCATCCTGGACCTGAAGATGGGGACCCGGCAGCACGGGGATGATGCGTCCGAGGAGAAGAAGGCCCGTCACATGAAGAAGTGTGCACAGAGCACCTCGGCCCGCCTGGGCGTGCGCATCTGCGGCATGCAGGTAGGTCACGGAGGGCCCGCCACATCCCGGCGTGTCCACTGTGGCACGAGGATGTCTCCCATCCAGATACCACTGCCCCTGCGGAGCCCTGTGCTTTGGGGGAGCAACAGAGGAGGAGCTGGGAACCAGCCTTTCAACAGAGCCGTGCATATTTTGGTCTAAGACATGCTGGGTTATTCAAGAGCACCCTTCAGGATAGGGGCGTCAAGTCTCTGGCATCTGAAACGTTCCACAGTGGCCACGTGTCTCCTGCCCGTGCTGCGAGCAGACCTTTGATGACAGTGTGTGAGCAGGGCTGGGGAAGAGCTAAGAGAAAGAGTTCTTTGGTGCACTCTCTGGCTTCCTGAGTCCTCATTCTCCTGAATAATAAAGCTGAATCCTTTCCTCAGATGCTGTACAGCAGTCTGCTCCTTGAATCCTCATTAGCCATTTCCTCTTTTTTTAATTTTATTTTTTGAGACAGGGTCTTGCTTTGTTGCCCAGGCTAGAGTACAGTGGTGTCATCATAGCTCGCGGCAACCTCACACTCCTAGGCTCAAGCAATTCTCCTGCCTCAGCCTCCCAAGTAGCTGGGAGTACAGGTACTGCCACCACACCTGGCTAATTTTTCTATATTTTGTAGAGACGGGGGTCTCGCTCTTGCTCAGGCTGATCTCGAACTGCTGAGCTCAAACAATCCGCCCGCCTCAGCCTCCCAGAGTGCTAGGATTACAGCCGTGAGCCACCACACCTGGCCCATTTCCTCTTCTTAATCCACCTTTTCTGCTTCTTTTTGTTACCTGTTGCAGTTAACAAAATGGGAAGGTCATAACCTGCTAATCCCCACAAGCAATGGTTATTTTCTTATCACGCAGACTCCACGTCTCATTTTCGCTGCTCTGGTGTAGCTTATGACAGGGGCTGCAGGAGAACAGGAGGAAATAAACTTTCTCCACTCATTCCCTCTTACAGTCTGTCTACTCAAAGCAAAACCAGGCACCAATTTGACGGTAAACGTTATAGCTTTCCTTAATTGAAACTGCCACCCCTTGAAGCTGGAAGTTAAGTCTATAAATTTGTTGCACAGATGTCCCTTGGAAGGCTTGCAATGCGATCCTCAAGAGAATGCAGTTGATGATTTGTGGTGTAAATGGAATCTCTCTCTGGACCTCAAATCTTCTGAAATTGATCTGATTTATTCAGAAAGTGATGCCTGTCACATATTTATGATGGCTAATTTAGCAGCCAATCTCCAGCCCTCCAAAGGCAACCCGAAGTCTATCCTGTCTTTCTGATTTTTTTCGACACTGGTTTTCTATAAACATATCATGTACTGTGAAGGGAGGAAAGACCTGAGAAACTGTCTTGGCCAGGTATGGGCAGCCCTTCCAGGTGTGCCAGGCAGAGGGGCGCCAAGTCCCCCTCAGGATCCCCCTCAAGGCCAGCCGCTGGCCTTGGTTCAGCTTCTGCTGCTGCCTGTGCCATCTGAATGAATCGGGGGTGGCTGCCACTGTCCCCCCATCAGCATCTCTCTTCCATCTGCTCCCTTCTGGTGGCCAAGACATGACAGGGGAGGGGAGGGCAGACAGTGCCAAGGAGAGCGGCCACCAGCCCCACAGAGCTGCTATGAACCGCCCTCCTCCACCCAGGCCCCTCGGCTGCACTGGCTACCTAACACCTCTGTCCACACCTGACATAGTCTGTCTTTTTATCTTCAAACAATTTACCTCACTCCACCTCAAGAGCCATTACTGTCTCCTTGGAATCTGCAGAGAAAGGACTTTATAAACTTTTTTGGGAAAAATTTAATCTAGTTGGCTTTCCAAAACCATTGGCTGTGATTTCAGATTCCTACTAAAGCTTTCTAGCTTGAGTTTGCTAATATTTGAATTGAAGAGGGCCAGAAGCCAGGGCTTAAATCATGATTTGGAGGTTGACAGTGGAAATTCACAAGAAAGGAGATCCAGCCGTTCTCCTTGTGGGGGAGGCTCACCTCTGTAGGGTGAAGGGTCTTTAGTCCCAGGATTACTATTACGCTCTGCACGGAAAGCGTTTTAAAATGTAAACGCTACACTGGTGCTTAACGGAAGGTCACCTTCCACTCACATCAGTCACCCCTGCCCTGCATCTCCTGGACACCCGTTCATGTGTCGTCCTAGCTTGTGACGCTGCAGCCGTACCAGATGCAACTTTTTTTTTTAAGTTTGCAATTCTTCACATTTTCTCTTTCTTCTTTTTAATGCAAGGTTTATCAAACGGATAAGAAGCACTTTCTCTGCAAAGACAAGTACTATGGAAGAAAACTCTCCGTGGAGGGGTTCAGACAAGCCCTCTATCAGTTCCTGCACAATGGAACCCACCTCCGCGCGGAGCTGCTGGAGCCCATCCTGCGCCAGCTCCAGGCCCTCCTCTCGGTCATTAGGAGCCAGAGCTCGTACCGGTTCTACTCCAGCTCCCTCCTCATCATCTATGACGGGCAGGAGCCATCAGAAAGAACCTCAGGCAGCCTGCATCCTCAGGAGGCTCCGCAGGTGGCCCACGGCAGCTCTCCCGGGGGTCTCGCCAAGGTTGACATCCGCATGATCGACTTTGCTCACACGACATACAAGGGCTCCTGGAATGAGCACACCACCTACGATGGACCAGACCCTGGCTATATTTTTGGCCTGGAAAATCTCATGGGGATCCTGCAGGATATCCAAGAGGGACAATGAAACTTCTTGGGCTCATCTGGATTTTTCTGGGCTACGGATCTCAAAAAGGGACCTATTGGTCGCTAGGGTAGTCTAGACACCCCTTAGATGTCTTCATAATAGTCGTATCTACCCTCAAAGCCATCTCTATACATGGCAGACTATATGAACAGCTGTCAATCAGCTCTGGAGGTGATTCCACATACTCTGGCATCCTGCTCTAATGCTGGTCATCATAGAAGGGACAGTCAGGATAAAGTGGCATCCATTGTGAGTACACCGGAGGGAGCAGCATGATGAGTTGAAGGCCAGCACTGCAGTGCGTTCCGGAGTATTTGCATCTGAGAGTGCTCACTTCTTGTTGTGCTGCAATCTTTGCAAGCTGTGAGGCAAAAAACCTACTTGAAGTAGCCTTGAAGAGTGAGTTCATGAGTTCACGGTTTTTCTCCCGGTCCAGGCTGCCCGCTCCAAGGGCAGACAGAGCTTGTGAATGCCTCTTACCTTCCCACGAGAGAGGAGCTGTAACTGGGGCAGGATGAAGTGGAACAGATCTGCCCACCTCACCTTCTTGCACCCAGGTTCTAAGTGGACAAGGACAAGCCCAGGCACAAGCACAGAAAGAGCAGGACCCCAGGTCCTACGTGTGCCTGTGCAGATCAGGGTCTCTTTAGAGACTTGTTTTTTTCCTTTTTTTTTTTCCAAAATCTATTATAATGAGGAATCTCTTTACAGACTTCTGAGTGCCTGTTGGATGTGATGATTCTGCCACATTCTGACCATGAAATGACTCTGACCATGAAATGCAGCTTCCGGCGGGGGGTGGGATGCACATGAGGAGGAGCCACTGATATTAAACTACACTCTCCGCTTTCTATTTATTTATTTTGGGGGTGGGTTGGGGGTGTCAGAAGAAGCCGGAGGACCCAGGAAACCACGGGCAATGTTTACAAGACTGGTGGACAAGCGTAAATATGGAACAAGAACAAACAGTTCTAATTAATTCCTTCTTCTGCAGTATGGAAACCTATTACAATGCCCTTGAGTCAAGCCCTGAGATACGTTACCCAATTAGGGAAATAAATTTGTTAATAAAATTGCTGAGGTCACCAGTGATTGTTGGCGCGCCTTATTAGCCTTTCCATTTGTTTATTCTGATCACACTGTATGGCAGTTCCAATTTATGAGTGACTAGAGTATACAACAAGAACAGTTCACCAATTTCCTACAATCCTTCAGGGAACTCGGGCGGAAATGGTGGCTAATAAAATATTTGCGTGTGTCTGCAAGGCAGGCACCAGACCTGAGAAGTAAGTTGTCCTTTCATTTGAAACCTATGCAATGTAAAATTAAGTAATTTGGGGATTCTCATGGATAATTACCATCAACTTTCCAAGATCCACACTAATAGAAGGAAAGAACGCCCTGGATAATAAAAAAGCTTGTGTTGGCCGGGCGTGGTGGCTCACGCCTAATCCTAGCACTCTGGGAGGCCGAGGCGGAAGGATTGCTCAAGGTCAGGAGTTCAAGACCAGCCTGAGCAAGAGCCAGACCCCGTCTCTACTAAAAAATAGAAAGAAATGATCTGGACAACTAAAAATATATATATAAAAAAATTAGCCGGGCATGGTGGCACATGCCTGTAGTCCCAGCTACTCGGGAGGCTGAGGCAGAGGAGGATCGCTTGAGCCCAGGAACTGGAGGTTGCTGTGAGTGAGGCTGATGCCACGGCACTCTAGTCCGGGCAACAGAGTGAGACTCTGTCTCAAAAATAAATAAATAAATAAAAAGCTTGTGTTTAATTTCAAAATACGCTATACAGACTTCGAAGCAGGTTAACTTCCCAAATCATGTTTGGCTGCGGCTATGATGTGATTAATTTGCATGCTTTGTGCCCATGGTAGGACAGTTGAGTCAAAGTATGTTGGGCAGCAAAAGGGAATCAGCCAAAACTACATATTTGCTAACGACAAAACAGAGCCCTAAATACCGCTATTTCCAAGCTACTTCCTTGCTTGAGAATCTGGTACCATAACAACCAAGTCCAAGGCTCCCTGGCTTAGCTTCTCGTTCCTCCACCCATTCTCCGCCCTGGGAGGTGTGGGACTTTGCAGACGGCCTGCTGGCCTACCCACAACACTAACTGTGCTACAGCTGCTCCCCAGGGCCTGGGTCCTAATTCCTGCCTATGTGATGCCACCTCTCTTGGCTATTCCTTCCCCCCACGGCGCCCTTCCCCTATGGGGCCTTCTTCTTCCTGTCTAAATCCTCAGCCCACGTTCCCATCTCCTGAAGATGTCCCTGACAAAAGTGCAATTTGTTATTTTTTTTAAAAAGGGACAAAGTTGGCTACAAAGTTTTAGACTATTCTCACTGGACTACCGACTCAGAGGGTCACTGCGGTCTGGAAACTCACTCAACTCTGGAAACTCAAACTTCTGCAGATTCAGAAACTCAGTGAACTCAGAAACTGAATGAGCCCACCCAGTTGATCCAAATCTGGGAAGAGGGAGAACAGAAATGCATGGAAAGAAAAGAAGAAGATAGATGTGTATGTTTTTGGTCTCCAAGAGGAGTTTTCTTGAAAGGAGTGAGGGAGCCCTAAGTAACCTGGCAACCGGCAGGTGTCCCCGAGCAGCTATTCCGTGCTGATCTCTTTGCTCGTGCTGTGGAAGATGCAGCTCTTGGGGAGCTTAGGTCCTAACTGCAGAGGCAAGAATAACACACACGAACTGACAACAAACCACACAAGACAATACCCAGTGGGACCAAGGATTCATCTGTGTGGTGCAGACGATTAACCCAAGGCTGTAAAGTTGGAAGAGGTACACTGAGAGCAGGGTTGTCACAGAAATTGTTGGAGGAGGGGAGACGTTATCTGGGGCCTGAAAGGTGACCGGAGTGGAGAGGAACTGGGGGATCAGTGAGGGGAGGTTGGGAGGAGATGGGGGAAGGAAAAGTCCAGCGTGCTTTAGGAGTCTGTGGACAGAGCAACCCCCTCGGAATGGGGGTTTGTGATTGGGAGTAGTAGAAACAAAGAGAAATGGAGTGGACCCAGACGGCGGAGACACTTGAAAATCTGAGCAAGTAGTTCATTCATTGTTTGTGATTTCATGAGTCTGCCTGCCTGCCTTCCATCCATCCACCAAATATTTACCAAGTGCCTGGTACATACGGCACAGTGCTAGGGCCTGTGCAGGACAGGAGGAAGTGTGAGGATCATGCCATTATTGTTAAGAACCTCATACCTTAATGCGAGTTAAGACCCCCTTATGAAAATATCGTGGGTGCTTCAACCAGGATGCTCAGCTGTGTAGAGTACTACCCAGGAGAGGGGAGGCAGCGAGGGCTCACCACACGGCGTGGTTACAGAGGCGGTATTTGCACTGTGCCTTGAGCGGGAGCTGAGTCTGAAAGGTGATGAAGAAGGGCAGGTTTTCCAGGAAAAGGTTCAGCAAGCATGGGAAAGGGAACCAGGCACTCCACTCAGGGAACAGCAAGTGGTCTGGGTTGGCCACAGGGAGCTGATGTGCTTGGACACCGAGAGAGATTAAGACGGAAATGGAGAAATCCTAGAACATGAGAACTAAAAAGAACCTCTGTACCTTCTACCTCTACTGCTCTTGCCTGGGAGACTGTGAGAGCCTCCTGGCTGATGTCCCTTACCCAGCCTGGGGAGCTCCCTTCTTTCGTGCATTAAGAAACACGCAGGTATTGGTCAGAGTTAGGCTAACTGCTATAACAATCCCCAAATATCAGTAGAGTAACATCGCAATCCAAGGTGCTTGGCCGAGAGCCTCTGCTCCACACGGTCATCGAGGGGCCCTGTCTCTGTCCATCGTGGGACACCACCGTCTTCAGACACCGTCCACAGGGCTGCTATTGACAGGTGAAAGTTAGATGGCACGGAGAAGGCACATCCACAGCCCATGGGCAAGGACTAGTCACGTGGCCCTACCCAGATGCCAGGGGTCTGATGCGCTGTTTAACTGTGTGCCAAGAAAGAGGAAATGGGTTTGATGAGAACCTCTTTCTCCATAAGCCCCGTATCAAACTGATACTTAAGGAGGGAGAAATAGAGTCATACAGAGCAAACGGGGAGCGTGGGGGGATGGCAGGGCCTGGCAATGCCAGGGCTACAGGTTCTGATCCAGATCCTTCCTCTGGCCGTGTCCTCATACAATTAGTGTGCTCCGCATGCTGGCAGACTTGCTACATCTCCCCAACCTCAGTTTCCTCATCTGTCCCACAGGAACTCTGACTTGGTCCTCAAGACAGGTGATGTGGAAGAGCAAACATAGATCATCACCAAATCCGTGGAGGAACCTGCTCCTGACCCGGCCTCTCCACTGCTGCCCACTACCATGGGACCAGGGCAGCCTGGAGACATTCATCCCCCACCCCCACTCCTGTCCCCCAGTGTCCCCTGTGTGATTAAAGAGAAGACTGAAGAGCAGAATGTTATTACAGCTTTTCCATAATGCAATGTCATCAGGAAGCCCTGGGCCTCTGGGCAGCACCCTGGCAGCCCCATCACTCTTCCCAGCTGCACGGAGCTTTCGGCCCATGCAGGAAAGGGCAGGAGGCAGTCTAACGAAACAAATGGCAAGGCAACGCCACTCATCAGCAGCTCTTCGGAATGATCTAAACTTCTGACTTTTGATTTAAATCTGCATCCTCTGTTGCCAAAAACATAAAACAGAAGATGAAGGAAAGAGCCAAAATGAAAGTGTCGTGGAGGGGAGGGAGGGAGGAGAAAAGCAGCCCTGGGACAGCACCGAGCGGGGCGCCAGCCAGGCAGCCTGACTTGCAGCCAGGTCTGGGCCCTTCTTGTTAGGCGTTTCTCAGAGCTTCTCCCTTCTGTCACTAAGCTGCCTTGAAATGCGACAGAAAGGCTGAGAGCGAGTCCAAGAACAAAGTCCGGAAATCTACCTGTTCCTGGTTTGCCCTTAACCTTTCTCCCTCAGCCCTTTAAGAGGAGTGAGGGGTGGGGTAGGTGGGCCAGGAGGCCTGGGTTTATATTCCAATGTCCTTCTCGTCAGATTCTTTTACTCACAAATATTATTTAGTGAGAGATGAATGCACCCCTGGACCTGCTGTCAAACAGGGAGCAGTGCTTTGAAGCAAAAGGGGACAAGAGTGGTAGGGGCCGCTACTGTGGCCTCTCTAAGGTGTCATCCTCTACAGAACAGATACGAGGAGACAGGCAGATCCTCTCCGGGGCAGACAAGATGTCTCAGCAGAGCTGAGGGCATCAGATATGTTAGGCTGCACTTCAGGTCCCCACTGAGCCTATCCTAGCACGTCTCAAACACGTCGTCACAGAAAGCACGCCTCCAGAACGAG